TCAGCGTTTCAACACTGTACATGGTTATGGTGCGCTCCACTGTCTCTGGGTACTAGTGGTGGCGCTCCCTCTAGTTCACATGGTATCTTGTTTGATGCGTAGCGTTTCCCGGTCTCCTGGTCAAATGGTAGCCTGCGACTCCCCTGTCACATGGTACTCTATTTAGTGTTGCGCTACCCCTGTCACATGGTATATTTGGTATGGTGCGCTCCCCTGTCACATGGTATGGTGCGCTCCCCTGTCACATGGTATGGTGCGCTCCCCTGTCCACACATGGTATGGTGCGCTCCCCTGTCACATGGTGCGCTATGGTGGTGCGCTCCCTGTCACATGGTATGGTTGCGCTCCCCTGTCACATGGTATGGTGCGTTTCCCTGTCACATTGGTATGGTGCGCTCCCCTGTCACATGGTATGGTGCGTTCCCCTGTCACATGGTATGGTGCGCTCCCCTGTCACATGGTAATGGTGCGCTTCCCCTGTCACATGGTATGGTGCGTTCCCCCCTGTCACATGGTATGGTGCGCTCCCCTGTCACATGGTATGGTGCGCTCCCCTGTCACATGGTATGGTGCGCTCCCCTGTCACATGGTATGGTGCGTTCCCCTGTCACATGGTATGGTGCGCTCCCCTGTCCACATGGTATGGTGCGCTCCCCTGTCACATGGTATGGTGCGTTCCCCCTGTCACATGGTATGGTGCGCTCCCCTGTCACATGGTATGGTGCGCTCCCTGTCACATGGTATGGTGCGTTCCCCTGTCACATGGTATGGTGCGCTCCCTGTCACATGGTACTGGTGCGTTCCCCTGTCACATGGTATGGTGCGCTCCCCCCTGTCACATGGTATGGTGCGCTCCCCTGTCACATGGTATGGTGCGTTCCCCTGTCACATGGTATGGTGGCGCTCCCCTGTCACATTGTATGGTGCGCTCCCCTGTCACATGGTATGGTGCGCTCCCCTGTCACATGGTATGGTGCGTCCCCTGTCACATGGTATGGTGCGATTCCCTGTCACATGGTATGGTGCGCTCCCCTGTCACATGGTATGGTGCGCTCCCCTGTCACATGGTATGGTGCGCTCCCCCTGTCACATGTATGGTGCGCCCCCCTGTCACATGTATGGTGCGCTCCCCTTGTCACATTTGGTATGGTGCGTTCCCCTGTCACATTGTATGGTGCGTTCCCCTGTCACATTGTATGGTGCGCTCCCCTGTTGTACTTGGTGTGCCCTGTCACATGGTATGGTGCGCTCCCCTGTCACATTGGTATGGTGCGCTCCCCTGTCACATGGTATGGTGCGTTCCCCTGTCACATGGTATGGTGCGCTCCCTGTCACATATGGTATGGTGCGCTCCCTGTCACATTGGTATGGTGCGTTCCCCTGTCACATGGTATGGTGCGCTCCCCTGTCACATTGTATGGTGCGCTCCCCTGTCACATGGTATGGTGGCGCTCCCCTGTCACATTGTATGGTGCGTTCCCCTGTCACATTGTATGGTGTTCCCCTGTCACATGGTATGGTGCGCTCCCCTGTCACATGGTATGGTGCGCTCCCCTGTCACATTGGTATGGTGCGCTCCCCTGTCACATGGTATGGTGCGTTCCCCTGTCACATGGTATGGTGCGTTCCCCTGTCACATGGTATGGTGCGTTCCCCCTGTCACATTGTATGGTGCGTTCCCCTGTCACATTGGTATGGTGGTGCGCTCCCCTGTCACATGGTATGGTGCGCTCCCCTGTCACATGGTATGGTGCGCTCCCCTGTCACATGGTATGGTGCGCTCCCCTGTCACATGGTATGGTGCGCTCCCCTGTCACATGGTATGGTGCGCTCCCTGTCACATGGTATGGTGCGTTCCCCTGTCACATGGTATGGTGCGCTCCCTGTCTCTGTCACATGGTATGGTGCGTTGGTATCCCCTGTCACATGGTATGGTGCGCTCCCCTGTCACATGGTATGGTGCGCTCCCCTGTCACATGGTATGGTGCGTTCCCCTGTCACATGGTATGGTGCGTTCCCCTGTCACATGGTATGGTGCGCTCCCCTGTCACATGGTATGGTGCGCTCCCCTGTCACATGGTATGGTGCGCGTTTCCCCTGTCACATGGTAATGTTCCCTGTCACATGTATGGTGCGCCTCCCCTGTCACATGGTATGGTGCGCTCCCCTGTCACATGGTATGGTGCGCTCCCCTGTCACATTGTATGGTGCGCTCCCCTGTCACATGGTATGGTGCGCTCCCCTGTCACATGGTATGGTGCGCTCCCCTGTCACATGGTATGGTGCGCGCTCCCACTGTCACATTGTATGGTGCGTGTCCCCTGTCACATGTATGGTGCGCTCCCCTGTCACATGGTATGGTGCGCTCCCCTGTCACATGGTATGGTGCGCTCCCCCTGTCACATGGTATGGTGCGCTCCCCTGTCACATGGTATGGTGCGCTCCCCTGTCACATGGTGCGTGCGCGCATCCCCTGTCACATGGTATGGTGCGCTCCCCTGTCACATGGTATGGTGCGTCCCCTGTCACCGCTCCCCTGTCACATGGTATGGTGCGCTCCCCCTGTCACATGGTATGGGTGCGCTCCCTGTCACATGGTATGGTGCGCTCCCCCCTGTCACATGGTATGGTGCGCTCCCCTGTCACATGGTATGGTGCGTTCCCCTGTCACATTGTATGGTGCGCTCCCCCTGTCACATGGTATGGTGCGTTCCCCTGTCACATGGTATGGTGCGCTCCCCTGTCACATGGTATGGTGCGCTCCCCTGTCACATGGTATGGTGCGCTCCCCTGTCACATGGTAGGTTGGTGCTCCCCTGTCACATGGTATGGTGCGCTCCCCTGTCACATGGTATGGTGCGCTCCCCTGTCACATTGGTATGGTGCGCTCCCCTGTCACATGGTATGGTGCGCTCCCCTGTCACATTGTATGGTGCGTTCCCCTGTCACATGGTATGGTGCGCTCCCCTGTCACATGGTATGGTGCGCTCCCCTGTCACATGGTATGGTGCGCTCCCTGTCACATGGTATGGTGCGTTCTGTCACATGGTATGGTGCGCTCCCCTGTCACATGGTATGGTGCGTCTCCCCTGTCACATGGTATGGTGCGTTCCCCTGTCACATGGTATGGTGCGCTCCCCTGTCACATGGTATGGTGCGCTTCCCCTGTCACATGGTATGGTGCGCTCCCCTGTCACATGGTATGGTGTGCTCCCCTGTCACATTGTATGGTGCGCTCCCCTGTCACATGGTATGGTGCGCTCCCCTGTCACATGGTATGGTGCGCTCCCCTGTCACATTGTATGGTGCGTTCCCCTGTCACATGGTATGGTGCGCTCCCCTGTCACATTGTATGGTGCGTTGGTGTGCTCCCCTGTCACATTGTATGGTGCGCTCCCCTGTCACATGGTATGGTGCGCTCCCCTGTCACATGGTATGGTGCGCTCCCCTGTCACATTGTATGGTGCGTTCCCCTGTCACATGGTATGGTGCGCTCCCCTGTCACATGGTATGGTGCGCTCCCCTGTCACATGGTATGGTGCGTTCCCCTGTCACATGGTATGGTGCGCTCCCCTGTCACATGGTATGGTGCGCTCCCCTGTCACATGGTATGGTGCGCTCCCCTGTCACATGGTATGGGTGCGCTCCCCTGTCACATTGTATGGTGTGTTCCCGTCTCTGCAAGAGACAGCAGTTATGGGGTTAATGCCGGCCATAGAAGGGTCGAAAATCAGCCGATTTCTTTAACGTTTAAACGACCGATTTTTCGTTTGTTTTTTTTTTAAATCGGCCGATGTTCGACCCGTCTATGGCCTGTTTACTGTATTTTTTTCCTGTGACTGATATTTCTCCCTGAAAATATATATTTGATAAATAACGGCGCAAATATTCTGCGACATAAAAAAAAATTGCAACTGCCACTGTTTTCTTCTCCAGGGTCTCTGCTTTCAGAAAACATAGAATCTCGGATGGATTTTCGTGATTTTTAGCAAAAAATGCCGATGTCAACAAGCAAAACGATTTGTACAAATTGCCCCGGTAGTCGAGCGCTTAAAATGCGTCAATGAGCCGCAACAGACCGTATAAGTATGAATGGGCCCTCAGGGAGTCCACACACAGCACAAGGCGGGCTCCTGGTCTGTACTTACCTGGTTCTGGACTTACATCCGGCTTGTTTGTTGCAGGGACCTCCACCGGAACCCAGTCCTGGATGACTTTCCTGTCTGAAGGAGAAAAATAAAGTTTACAAAGAACCACGGAACCACCTGCATGGAGTTTGCATGTTCTCCCTGTGCCTGCGTGGGTTCCTCTGGGTACTCCGGTTTCCTCCCACACTCCAAAGACATGCTGGGAGGTGAATCGGCTCCTGTCTAAATTGGCCCTAGTATGTGTATGTGTGAATGTGAGTTAGGGACCTTAGATTGTATGCTCCTCGGGGGCGGGGCCTGATGTGAATGTACAATATATATGTAAAGTGCTGCGTAAATTGATGGCCTGAAATAGATAATAAATAAATAAATATTAGTCATGACTTCCTTATTTCGGGTCGGGACGTTTCCCACGGAAAAAAGGTTCAAAAGTATAAAGAAGAGCCAAAGCAAAGTATGATCTGCTGCAATGACTAGTCGTGGGTCTCAGGAATCATTCAATCAGGATGAGGATGACAAAGGGCTCTGTTTATAGGAAGAGCGAACGTCTCAAGCATGTACCCAGCTAGCACGAATAATATTACTGTGATTGAGGAATTTCAGGAAAATACCGTATTATGGCCACTAGACATATCATGTGATTCAAGTGTTCCAATCCCCTCCAAATCATGTGATCCAGGTGTTCCAATCCCCTCCAAATCATGTGATTCAGGTGTTCCAATCCCCTCCAATCATGTAATTTGGTGTTCCAATCCCCTCCAATCATGTGATTTGGGTGTTCCAATCCCCTCAAATCATGTGATTCGGGTGTTCCAATCCCCTTCAAATCATGTGATTTGGGTGTTCCAATCCCCTTCAAATCATGTGGTTCAAGTGTTCCAATCCCCTCCAAATCATGTGATTCAGGTGTTCCAATCCCCTCCAATCATGTGATGCAGGTGTTCCAATCCCCTCCAATCATGTGATTCAGGTGTTCCAATCCCTTCAAATCATGTGATTCAAGTGTTCCAATCCCCTCCATATCATGTGATTCAGGTGTTCCAATCCCTCCCAATCATGTGATTCAGGTGTTCCAATCCCTCAATATCATGTGGTTCAGGTGTTCCAATCCCCTCCATATCATGTGATTCAGGTGTTCCAATCCCCTCCAATCATGTGATGCAGGTGTTCCAATCCCCTCCAATCATGTGATTCAGGTGTTCCAATCCCCTCCCATCATGTGATTCAGGTGTTCCAATCCCCTCCATATCATGTGATTCCGGTGTTCCAATCCCCTCCATATCATGTGATTCAGGTGTTCCAATCCCCTCCCCAATCATGTGATTCAGGTGTTCCAATCCCCTCCCAATCATGTGATTCAGGTGTTCCAATCCCCTCCATATCATGTGATTCAGGTGTTCCAATCCCCTCCATGGACACAGGTGTATACAATCAAGCCCCTAGGCATGCAGACGCTTCTACAAACATTGGTGAAAGAATGGGTCGCTCTCAGGAGCTCAGTGACTCCAAGCGTGGTCCCGTGATAGGTGGCCACCTGGGCAATAAGTCCATCCGGACATTTCCTGGCTACTAAATATTCCACGCTCAACTGTTAGTGGGATTATAACAAAGTGGAAGCAACTGGGAACAACAGCCACTCAGCCACCAAGTGGTAGGCCACGTCACATGACAGGGCGGGGTCAGCGCATGCTGAAGCGCACAGTGCGCAGAAGTCACCAACTGTCTGCAGAGTCAATAGCTAAAGACCTCCAAACTTGGTGTGGCCTTCAGATGAGCCCAACAACAGTGCGTAGAGAGCTTCATGGAATGGGTTTCCATGGCCGAGCAGCTGCATCCAAGCCTTCCATCACCAAGTGCCATGCAAAGCGTCGGATGCCGTGGTGTAAAGCACGCCGCCACTGGACTCTAGAGCAGTGGAGACGTGTTCTCTGGAGGGACCAATCACGTTTCTCTGTCTGGCAATGCGATGGACGTGTCTGGGTTTGGCGGTGGCCAGGAAAACGGTACTTGCTGGACTGCATGGTGCTAAGTGTAAAGTTTGGTGGAGGGGGATTATGGTGTGGGGGTGTTCCTCAGGGGTTGGGCTTGGCCTCCTAGTTCCAGTGAAGGGAACCCTTAAGGCAACATTTTGGACAATTTCATGTTCCCAACTTTGTGGGAGGAGTTTGGGGATGACCCCTTCCTGTTCCAACATGACTGCCCACCAGTGCACCAAGCAAGGTCCATAAAGACATGGAGGAGCGAGTTTGGGGTGGAGGAACTTGACTGTCCTGCACAGAGTCCTGACCTCAACCCCATAGAACACCTTTGGGATGAATTAGAGCGGAGACTGCGAGCCAGGCCTCCTCCCCCGACATCAGTGCCTGACCTGACAAATGTGCTTCTGGAAGAATGGTCCAACCTTCCCATAGACACCCTCCTAAACCTTGTGGACGGCCTTCCCAGAAGAGTTGAAGCTGTTATAGCAGCAAAGGGCGGGGCCAACTCAATATTGAACCCTACGGACTAAGAAAGGTAATGGGGGGCCATTACAGGTCATGTGTGTGGAAAGGGCGGGGGGCGGGGCCAACTCAATATTGAACCCTTACGGACTAAGGCTGGGGGCCATTAAAGGTCATGTGCGTGGAAAGGGGGCCAACTCGGGGCCTAGTTCAATATTGAACCCTACAGACTAAGACTGGGGGGGCCATTAAAGGTCATGTGTGTGGAAAGGGCGGGGCCAACTCAATATTGAACCCTACGGACTAAGACTGGGAGACCATTAAAGGTCATGTGTGTGGGAAGGTCGGTGGCCCGATACTTGGGGCAATATAGTATATATATATATATATTTTTTTTTTTTGGAAAAGTTTCCTGCTCCATGGACCCTTTTTGAGTATATTTATACATTTTTGCTCAAAAACACTTTTATTTTATATTCATATTTAGTTTATTTGGTTTCAGTGAAAAGCTTCAGTTTCACTTTCACTTGCAGGTCCCCCTCCCTTGCTCCCAACCTGTGACTGCACAGTGAAAGCAGAAGCAGCAGGATCATGGGCTCATCACTTGGTCACTCTGCTCCTGGTAAAACAGAACAGCTGATTGGCTGCTTGTGCTGCTTCATCCCCACCCTCTCTGAGCTCTGCTGTACGGGGGGGGGGGGGGGCCAGGGGTGGCAAGCGGATGATATAAAGCCGCATTCTGGTCCTCATACGGCCTGTATTCACACACATGTAATGCGGTCATGATATCAGAACCGTGTTCCGTGTGCCATGTAGATTTGGCTGGAGATCACCATGCATGCTCTGCAGGTATGTAGCCGCAGAATGACTTACCCAGTGTGCCAGAAATGACCGGGGAGTCATACTGCCTGAGCAGGAGGCTGGGGGAGGTTCCTTTCTTTTTAACTTTGAATATGCGGGCGCTCTGTGACACTGCAATGACATCACAGCAACACATGACACGGGAATCACATGATCAATATACACTATATACTCACATGTCATATGTATGATACAGGAACCTACAATCATACAACATATACATCACCATGAATCTTGGATTTGCTCCTCCTCCTGGGGCGTGGCTGGAAGAGAGAGAACATCACATTACCATCCTCTGTACAGCGCTGCGGTATATGTCAGAGCAATATCAATGTATAATAATAGTGTGTGACTGTGGGGGAGGGGACATTAGAGTGTAAGCTCCTCTGCTACAGAGACTGATGGGACTGCGGGGGAGGGGACATTAGAGTGTAAGCTCCTCTGGTACAGAGACTGATGGGACTGTGGGGGAGGGGACATTAGAGTGTAAGCTCCTCTGGTGCAGAGACTGATGGGACTGCGGGGGAGGGGACATTAGAGCGTAAGCTCCTCTGGTACAGAGACTGATGTGACTGTGGGGGAGGGGACATTAGAGCGTAAGCTCCTCTGGTGCAGTGACTGATGGGACTGGGGGAGGGGACATTAGAGCGTAAGCTCCTCTGGTACAGAGACTGATGTGACTGTGGGGGAGGGGACATTAGAGCGTAAGCTCCTCTGCTACAGAGACTGATGTGACTGTGGGGGAGGGGACATTAGAGTGTAAGCTCCTCTGGTACAGAGACTGATGGGACTGCGGGGGAGGGGACATTAGAGCGTAAGCTCCTCTGGTACAGAGACTGATGTGACTGTGTGGGGGAGGGGACATTAGAGCGTAAGCTCCTCTGCTACAGAGACTGATGTGACTGTGGGGGAGGGGACATTAGAGTGTAAGCTCCTCTGGTACAGAGACTGATGGACTGCGGGGGAGGGGACATTAGAGCGTAAGCTCCTCTGGTACAGAGAGACTGATGTGACTGTGGGGGAGGGGGACATTAGAGTGTAAGCTCCTCTGGATAATTAAAGTGAAAAATCGTCTGCATTAGTAAAACAACTTTGAGAAATGAGAATTCAGAATCGTGCATTTTGCAGGTTATTGCACACAACTTGCAACAGAGTTTGCATTGCGGCTGTGAAAAACTTACATATTGATGATCGGGCAGCTGCCAATAAACAAGAGAGAGATTGGTTACATTATATCCACCTGTCATATCCATCCATCTATCTATCTATCTATCTATCTATCTATATCTATCTATCTATTATCTAACTTTTTCTATCTATCTTTCTAAAAATCTATCTATTATTATTAATATCTATTATCTATCTTCTATCTATCTTTTTTTTCTATTATTATCTAAATCTATTTATTTTATCTATTTATCTATTATCTATCTTTTATCTTATTTATCTATCTATCTATCTATCTATTAAAAATCTATTTATTTAACTATCTATCTAATCTATCTATCTAAAATCTATCTATATTATTTATCTATCTATCTAAAAAAAAATCTATTATCTATCTAAAAAAAATTTATTATCTATTATCTATTTAAAAATCTATTATTTTTTAAAAATTCTAAAATCTAAAAAAATTTTTTATTTTTCTATAAATTTTTTATTTCTATCTATTTTTATTTTTTCTATCTATAAAATTTATTTATCTATCTATTTTTTATTTTTTTAAAAAATCTTCTATCTATCTAATTATTTATTTTATTCTTTTTTATCTATCTAATTTAAAAAAAAAAATTATTTAAAAATCTTTATTTATCTTTATTAAAAAAATCATATTAAAAATCTATTTTTTATTTTTTATCTATCTATCTAAAAATTTATTTATCTATCTATTAAATCTATCTTTTATTATCTATTTATTAAATCTATCTATTTTAAATTTTTTTAAATCTATTTTCTATCTATTATTATTAAATTATTATTTTTTAAAATCTAAAAATCTATCTATTATTTATTATTTATCTATTTATATTTTTTTTATTTTTCTATCTATTCTATTTATTATCTATTATTTTATTATTATTTTATTTATTAAAATCTATTTATTTATCTATCTTTCTATCTATCTTTTATTTTTTATCTTTCTATCTTTTTTTATTAAAAAATCTAAAAATTTTTTCTATTATAAAATTTTTTTTCTAAATCTATTTTATCTTTTTTTTTTTTTATTTAAATTTTTTTATTTTATTTTTATCTATCTATCTTTTATTTATTTTTAAAAATTTTTATTTTTTTATTTATTATCTTTTCTAAAAATCTATCTATTTTCTATTTCTATTTTTCTATCTATTTTTTTTAATAATCTAAAATTTTTTTTTCTATTTTTTTTACAATTTTTTAAATTTTTTATTTTTTTTTTTTTCTTTTTTTTTTCAGCTTTAAAAAAAATAAAAAAAACTCCCACCATAAAAAAATTTTTTTTTTTTTTTTTATTTTTTTTTCTTTTTTTTATTTTTAAAAATTTTTTCTTTTTTTTAAAAAAAAAAAAAAAAAAAAAAAAAAAATTAAATCATTTTTCAAAAAAAAAAATTTTTTAAAAAAAAAACTTTTTTTTTTTTTTTAAAAAAAAATTAAGTTTAAAAATTTTTTTAACTTTTTTTTTTTTTCTATTTTTTAAAAAAAAAAAATCTAAAAAAAAAATTTTTTTTTTTTTTTTTTTTTCTAAAAAAAAAAAATTTTTTTTCATTTTTCTTTTTTTTTTTTTTTTTTTTTTTTTTTTTTTTTTCTAAAAAAAAAAAAAATTTAAATTTTTTTTAAAAATTTTTTTAAAAAAAAATTTTTTTTATCTTTTTTTTAAAAATTCTTTTTTCTTTTTTTTTATAAAAAAACTTTTATTTTTTTTTTTCTATTAAATTTTTTTTTATTAATTTTTTTTTTAATTTTTTCAAAAAAAACACTTCATTTATTCATCTTTTAATATTTTTATAAAATTACAATCATTTTAAATAAAAAAAAAAAAAAATTTAAAAAAAAAAACTATTTTTTTTTAAAATTTTTTTATTAAAATTTTTTTTAAAACTTTAAAAAATTTAATTTTAATTTTTCTTTCTATTATTTTTCTTTTTTTTTTTATTACTTTTTAAACTAAAAAAATCTATCTAAAAAATTTTTCTTTTTTTAAAAAAATTTTTTTTTCTTTAAAAAATTTTTTTTTTTTTTATTTATTTTTTTTTTTTCTCTAAAAAAAAAAAAATTTTATTAAAAAAATTTATTTTTCTTTTTTTTTTTATTATTAAAAAAAAAAAAAAAAAAAATTTTTTATTTTTTTTTTTCTTTTTTACAAAA